AAGCCAGTTAAGTCAGATTCCACGTAAATATATGACTTCTACCACCTCCTGAAAGCAAGAAATTGCATGAAGGTAATCACAGATGAGCTGCCCCTGGAGAACTGTATTAACGACAACCTGATGAAATAAACATTTGGCATTTCGATGATCTCCTCAACCCCGAATCCTGGTTTCCAAAATTCCCTGTTTAATCCACTGGCATCCCCAACACAAACACAGAAAAGGGAAAAATCATCCCTATGATGTCTCACTGGTTTATCTTTTCAGCCCCAGGTTGGCTGAGCAGCCATCTTTCCTCACGTGTTGTCTGTGTGTTGGCTTTGTCGAACATTTCCTTGGCATCTTTACTTCGATAATTCAGAGTTGAAACCCTAGGCTTTCACAATTGCTGAATCCCATGGAAAAGCAGGTGGTGTGTTACCTTGTGAAAGAGGACCCGTTACAGTGTCTGGGAGAAACGATGCAGAAACTTGAGTTGTGCTGCACTTTAAGGAGAAAAAAAATCTTATCATTTACTTTCTTTCTCTGTGTTCACCTTAGGGGGTGGATCTCAAGGGGAATGTATTCATATCTGGACCAGCTTATTATCCACATCTTTACCGTTATTGTCATTAGTAAGACCACGATGGGGTCCAAAATATCTTCCCTACTTTTCTCTTGGTAGAATCTGTCACATGATGTTGTTAGCAATTATTTTGGCAACAGCAGTGAAAAAAAAAATGAATATGGACAGGGCTCTCTTTAAAAAGAATTTATAATAGATGTTAGTTGCTGTTGCTGACTTGAGCCTATTGTGTGGTCAGAAATGCATCTTCTATAGGAGAAACACCTGGCATTAGTCGTGAGCCAGAGCTGAAAGTAGTGGGCTCATTTACACAGCTGGAGTGTGTGTGCAGAGCTGCTGAAATTGTATCTCTGCTATAGGGGAGAAGCATTTATAAAATGACAAAAGCATTCATCATTTATGGCCCACTGTTCAATATTTGAAGCATGAATACCATGCCTTTCTTTTATGTGAGGATGACAAAAATTTCCCCACTTTGATCCCAGCAAAATTTTGTGTTGAGAACATCATATCTAGTCTGTTTGTAACCGTGCAACAAATTTCATGGTAATTAAAAGTCAGGCCCTTTTTTTTGTTTCATTTTCTAAATGATACTCCCTTATATGTTATCTCAGGCTACAGAGTAGTTCTTGCTTTATGCATGGTAGGTATTCAGTAAGCAGTGCTGCTGGATCAAACTGCATTGTAAAATGGATCCCACTAGGTCTACATTGAGATCCTAATAAATATATACAATTTAGTATTAATGTCTGGAGATCTATGAATTTCAAAAGGTTAGAACCTATAGCATAAATGTTAGGAGACATTATGGAGAATTTCTTTTCTTGGTAGATCAAGTTGCCTAATTTTTTTTCGTTCACCCCAAACATTTTCCTTAAGAACCAGCTGCATTCCCACGGGGTCCTTGGATGTTTGTTGTGTATTGGGTGGTCAGAAGAGAATTCTATACCCCAGTAATCACACTGTCTTTGATTTCTACCTAAGTTATTTCAACAAAGTTTTGTATTTAGAACACAGTGAAGAGCATTAAAATGAAAATACTAAAATCAAAAGTTGAAGGACTAGTTTGGGATAACAAGTTAAATGAAGAATTTTATATTTTGAAATTTATTTAAAAATACAAATTTTCTAAAAAAAAGTTATTTTATAAATGACAAGAAAAATCCAAAGATTTTTAACCATGTTTTGGGTGATGCAGAGAGTCTGTGTAATCTTGAAGGAAAAAAAAAAAAACAGAGGTTAAAAAGCAGTGTATATACTGACTGTAGATAAACCTAGTAATTGAATATTTACTTAGGTTACTAGGAAAAATTTGGATATTTCCCAGACTGAGTTTTTGTCTTACTGTAAAAGGATGTGTTTACTATGTTAGCTATATTAGAATTCCTGAGATCCCATAAATGGTTTACCTGACTGACAATATATTGAATTTCATACACACATTTTTCCTTCTCCAATTCTAGAGATATGACAATAGAGGATATGGTAAAATTCTTACATCTTTAAAATATTGTCACTCTAAAAATGAATGAAATGTCATAATTTATTTCATTGACTGGCTGTAATTTATTTTATTTCTGTTAAAAAATATATCTGATAAGGGCTAATATTCAGAATATATAAAGAACTCATACACATCAATACCAAAAATAACAATCTGATAAAAATGTGCAGAGGATCTGAAGAGACATCTTTCCAAGGACGACATACAGATATCCAACAGGTACATGAAAAGTTGTTCAACACAACTATTCATCAGAGAAATGCAAATCAGAATCACAATGAGTTATCACCTCACATCTGTTAGAATGGAAAATATCAAAAAGACAAGAAATAACAAGTGTTGTTGACAAGGATGTGAGAAAAGGGAACCCCTGTGCACTGTTAGTGGGAATGTAAATTGGTGCAGCCACTATGGAAAACAGTATGGAGGTTCCTCAGAAAACTGAAAATAGAACTACCGTGTGATCCAGCTATTCCACTTCTGGGTCTATATCCAAAGAAAATGAAAACACTAATTCAAAAAGATACATGCATCCCATTGTTCATAACAGCCTTATTTTCAAGAGCCACAACATGGAAATAACCTGTGACCACTGACAAATGGATAAAGAAAGTGTGGTGCATATATATATATATATCATCACACACAACACACACACACACACACATATATATATGACTATTATTCATCCATAAAAATAATGAAATCTTGACATAACGAATCTATGATAACATGGATGGACCTTGAGGGCATTATGCTAAGTGAAATGTCAGACAGAGAAAGATAAATACTGTATGATCTCAATTATATGTGGAATCTACAAAACAAACAAAACATAACAAGCAAAAAAAGAACTCAGATTCAAAGGACAGATGGTGATTGCCAGAGATGGAGTCGGGGAGGGGGTGGGTGGAATGGTGGAATGAGTGAAGGATGCCAAAAGATAAAAATTTTCAGTTATATAATAAATAAATTACAGGGATATGATGTACAGCATGATGACTATAATTAATATTACTATATTACACATTTGAAAGTTGCTAAGAGATTTTTAAAGTTCACAAGAGAAACTTGTGACTATGTATGGTGACAGATGTTGACAAGACTTATTTGGGTGATCATTTCACAATATATACAAATACTGAATCATTATGTTGTACATCTGAAACTAATATAATGATATATGTCAATTATACCTCATTAAAAAGAGAAAGAAAAGAAGTATAATTAGCCTCATATATGGATCTGTGATAGAAGCTGACTGACAAAACTTAGAGGTCATGTTTATGGCAAAAATATAACCTTTTTGGACAAGCAACTCTAGATTTAAAATACTGTCTCTAAACATCCTGGAGATATTCGACTGTCTTCTAGCTTCTATTAGTGCTTTGGAAAAGTGAACATTCTGGCTAATTCTTACGGGGGTAGATAAGTGTGCTGGGAACTTTGAATCTGGTCATTGGAGAATCAGATATTTGAAATCAAGATTTCTGATGCAGTATTAATTCTGATAATTCTAATGTCCAGACTGGACCTCTGAGAATGGGTGGTTGCAGGATGGATGAATAGATCCTCATTTTAATGTTCAGATATATGTATATATCTACTCAGGTAGTGAAAGAGATCAGTCTTATAGAAACCTAAAATGTTGAAAGGCTTTTTACCCTATGCATTGAGGAGACTTGAGCCACATACCAGGCTCCGCATTGCTTAGAGCTTTACATTCATTTCAACATCAAATTCTGTTTTTAATCAGCTTTCTTAGTAAACTGGAGCCAAACAGTCATAGATAACTTGACTGGTGATTGACCTGATATTTTGTTGTCCATTGTATTGCACAATATATCCATTGCCCAACAGCTATGGAAATAAAATCCTGCCCTGAAATTTAGGGCTTGGGAGTGCAATGGGAGTGCTGGCCTCATAGAAAAAACATCAAATATTATCTTAATAAATAGCCCAACACGTTTTCTTTAAATCTTTTAAATCCTTGATGACATGACCATGTTCCTTCTCCCCAAATCACTGCTCATGCACCCCAGATATTCAGTTTGTTCATAGCCCCCCGGCCTCTGATAATATATGGTTTCTGGAAAGTATGTTATTGATTCATTGGCACTAAATTATGCACAATATTTGAATTGCAGTAGATCTTAAGCCAAGGAATGAACCATTCTGACACTTAAGAAATAAATCACTTTTGTAGTAGGGTCATTTAAAACCCCTAAAATAACATATCAGTTGTCACCTACTATATAAGTGGGTAAAGTTGACTAACAGTGATTGGAAGAAATTCAGAAATATATGTTTTCAAAGTAGGTATGATATATAAATTCATATATTTTTATCTATATTTATAAATACATATGCTTCAAGAACATCTTTAGAAGAGAAAGGAGTTACTAGGTGGTAAATCAGAGAACAGTAGCCACATTTTTTATTTGGAGTTTAATGTATCATTTTTTAAATTTTATGAAGACTGTATGTCCTAGAACCTACTGAAACAAAGATGTAAGAGTAAAATCTTAGAAAATCAAATACCTTATGGATTATGATTTTAAATTTTTGATCAGATAAATAATTAGAACAGTACCCTGATTAATGATTTTGTTCATTGAACTTGATCTAAAGTGCGTATCTTTGTAATTTAACTATCAAGCTTCTATTTTTTTCTCTTCCCAGTGTTAAAGAATCCAGTGTGTAAATTATATAGATTTCCCACATCTGACAATAAGTGGATGCGAATCCGGGAGCAGATGTCAGAGAGCATACTTTCTTTTCATATTCCTAAGGAATTGATCTCTCTTCAAATCAAAGAAGATTTGTGTAGGTAAGAGAAAATGATTTATGGTTGCCTCTTGCATTATTTATTTTTTTCTATAAAACGTGTTTTTTCTTTAAGTATGATAATAACATAAAAGTCTAGACCTGCATTGTCCAGTATGATGGTCATGAGCCCTGTATGGCTGTTAATCACTTGAAATGTGATTAATCCAATTTGAGATGTTCTGGAAGTGTAGAATACATACCAGATTTTGAATTCTTTGCACACAAACAAACAAAGACTGATTTCATAATGAAATGTTAACATTTTGGCTATATTGAAGTTACATACAATATATTGTTAATTTTATGTACTTTTCTTTGTACTTTTTACATATGACTATGAGAAACTTTTAAATTACATGTGTGACTCTCATTTATGGCTTGCATTATATTTCTGTTGTAAAACTTGGTATCTAGCCAATAATCTGAACTTCGAGCTTGCTTATAATCTGTGTGTCTTTACCTCATCTAATTTTGATTACTATTTCTATAGGAAATTCCTACTTGACTCTTCTTTGGATTATTCATCTGTAACAAGACTTTCAGATATTTGTTGTTCTAAAAACTCTTTGAGATGATTGATAAAGTGTGCTATGTGAAATGTACAGTATTGTTAATACAACAAAATTAAATCTGTTGCTATAGTACAACAGAAGGATTTGAGAGCTGATTGTTGATAAGAATATTTCTGAACCATGACTAATGAAACAATTTGTTTCTCTGCCTTATAAACCTCTAGTGACTAAAAATGCTGTTGTTATACCTCATTCATTATACTACAAATACTGTTAGGGCTCTAAAACTCAGAAAATTAGCAAATATTTTTGAGTTAACATTTTGTAATTGCTGAAATACAGCAGAGTGTGAAATGTACAAAAGTTGGTATTCCAACATATGCTCAAAAAGAGTTACCTGATAGCACTGTACCCCTGTGGTCTCTGCAGTCCGGAGGGATGCCATATTGACCTTAGCCAGTGAGCACACTCTGGACAGGGCAGTATTGACAATATTTGTTAGGACAGGAATGAGTGCACTAATGCTGTATGTCCAAGTGAGGGGGGAAAAAAAAGAAAACAAACAGAATCTGGATTTTAGGGGAAATCAGACAGAGAAAAAGATGATTCTAGTATTAATTAATATAATGTAATCATTAGATTATATTATAATATGTAATTAATATGATATAACATAATATAATAAATTAAATTGAGAATATAAGAATGGGACATCCTTCTGCAAAAGGACTTGATACATTTTTCTTGATTGGGGGGAAACTCCAGCCTAGACAGAGCTTTACTCTGAAGTTCTTTTCTCAGCCCCTTTTACCCCTCATCTTATGCAGATCCCAGAAAGTATGTTACTCGCCTCAGCCTTCCTCCCAACAGCACAATTTCAATAGATTTTCTCACCTTGTTTGATGAAGACTATGGGTGCTGTAGTGCTGTTTGTCTTTCAGTACTTGCAAAGAGTGCAAAATACTTCATTTGCACAATTGGAAATCTATCTTGAGGGAATTATTATCAATTATTTTAATTGTTAATTAATTATTATTAATTTTTTTTAAAGCTTGCCGTTTTTTCCTCCAAAAGAAAAAAAAAGTTGCCAGGGCAACTTTATATCATGGTCATTTACATTGCTAAGGAACCAAAACAACTATTTTCTGAATCTTTGAAAGAAATATTAACTAAATTGTATCATTTTAGTTGGTGAAGAGCAATAAGTAAATGAGGAGCAAATATAAGTTGTCAGTAAGTCCCTTTTCATATTTTGTTCTGTGTAGAGCTTAATGACAGATGGAGATAGTTATGGATGGATAGAGAGGTAGCCAGTCAGACAGACAGGCAGGCAGACAGATAGATACAGATATACAGCATTTTCTTTCTTTTTTAGGAAAGTCAGTAAATACAGTATGAACTTAGCTGTGTATCAGGATTCACAAAAACTTTTTCTTTTTTTGTTTTTTCTTTTTTTTAAACTTTTTCTTAAAGGACTAAATAGTAAATACTTTACAAAATATTTTACAAAAGCGAGCTGTCCCCTCTTAATTACCAAGATGATGAATTTGCAAACATGATCAGTCCTTGACTTCTGTGAAGTCTGGATTTTGGAAATCCTACACTTTCATGATACATTGACCCTTTTAATCTCCCTTTTCAGCCTAGATGTAAACTTTTCTACTTAAGTTGGTGACCAAATGCAGTCCACTTCTCTGAGTTGATGTGTTACCATTTCTCTGTAGGAGTGCTTAGGGAATTATCTGAATATTTTGTTACATAGCTTCTCCCTTACCAAGGGAGTGGAAAGTGGAAAACTGAAAAGACTGCTGTGATTGATCTCAGCCTCATAAAATCACAGATAAAGATTTCCTAAATTTGACTATGGATTTAATTGTGAAAGAAAACAGCAGTTAAGGAAGGGAACTAAGAAAATATTAGGTGTGCTTATAATCACAACTGTATCTTAAAGACAAATTATTACTAGTGTTTCATTTTTTAACGTGGTAAGAATGAAATTCCAATTATGCATTTGAGTGTATTATTAGTTTTATCACATCTGGGCTTGATACGCACTTAAAAGTAAGTTAGCGCGAGTCTCTTGCAGGGACCACATGTGTGCATAGTTTTGCCTCTTTGCATAACGAATACCTTTATGTATAAACGAGGAAAATGTTATCCTTCTCAGCCGTGGAGTGTGTATGTTGGCAGGGACATAATGATGCAGCAGTTACTTTCCATCACTCATACACGGTGTCTGGCCTTGACCATAGCTGCCATCTAACAATTCTCTTGCTGTTAGTTTCTTAGTCTCTTAGTTAATATGACATTAGACTCAATGGGAACTACTTATATTACATTTGAGGTTGTACACACACAAAGTCTTAGGGTTTTGATAGCATTTAAATTCTTTAGGGGCTCCTTTTGATTGACCTAAGCATTAAATACCTTCTGCGTTCAAGTTCAGATACATAACAGCTTTTGCATTGGTTGTGAGGTGTTTTTACAGTACTACAGTTTGAATTTTATATTATGGTTTATGTCCAAAATAATCACAAGCAGGAAATCCTAGAAATCAATTTATGTTTACTGCTGTGAAGAAAGGCTTATATTGTGCTTAGCAGTTTTCTGATTCTTTGCTCCTGGAACCATATTTTACAAATATATAAAATGTATGGTGAATTTTTTTTCTAGAAAAATGATATATACTCACTATAGAAAACAGTGAAAATACAGAAAATATAAAAAAGAAAAAGGAAAATCACTCTAAACCCACCACCCAGAAGAAATATGGTGTCTTTATGTTCTACATCTACTCTTAATCTTCATGAGCCTCTCAATGGGAAGCAGAGTTTTGGTCCCATGACTCTCCCACCCTGGTATCATGTTTAATTTCTAGAAGGAAAATAGACTAGAAATACACTAAACTATTAGTAATATGCACACTAACATTAGCAATGATTATTTCTGGATGGTGGACTTAGAACAGTAACTGAGTTATTATGGAGTAAGTATAATGGAAAGGGAAGGAGAGAGATATGTTGAAGATGGCTCAGAGATGCTAAATACATCAAGGGGTGTGTGTGTGTGTGTGTGTGTGTGTGTGTGTGTGTGTGCTTGTGCTTATATGCATCTTTGCCTGTTTTAATAATGCCTCAAGCTTTAACTTCTTTCAGCTTGGGTTGCACACAGACAAGTTATGTAGGTCTCGCCAAACTACCACCTATACAATTTTTATAGCTTGTTTTCGTGTTGCTACATGCTTTGTTTATGTTGAGTGTTTTCTTCAGATTTTGCACTACTTCAGAGGTTAGCTGTGCTTAGTCTACATTGAAATATTAGTTAATTGGTAAAATGATGGAACTTGTGGAGTTGAAGCTTCATGACAGCTCTACACATGGTAATAAATGACCGTATGCAAACATATGTTTAAATGGGAGACTTTGGGAAGCCATAGTGTGTTTGGGTTTATCAAAAAAGTATACTTTTCTACCTTATAAGATGATGGAAACCTATTATGGCACAAAAAGTTTTAAAGAAATGAACTTTCATATTTCAGTGAAAATGAACCCCATGGTCCGTAAAACACCCCAGGAAAAAATTAGTTTGATTAATATCCTCCTTCATTTCTTCCCTATACCTGTTTTTCTTCCTTGGTCCCAAAGGTGGGGAAGGAGAGAAATTTTCTGGCATATAATTTTGGGAGTCTAAGAAGAAAGGATAAGAATATTTTATAACAGTTAACTTTAAGGAGTTCTTAGGTTTTATAAGACATATAAAAATTTGTGTGTGTCATGCAGAAGAACAGTCTTGTAAATAAAATATTAAAAATATGAACCAAATACTTTAGTAGGGAAAATGTGATAGGATTTTGGGACACACAAACTCTAAAAGTTTTCTTAGCATTTCTTTGAGAGAATGTACATGCTTTGTCTTAGATGATTTGTGTTTGTAACCATTGTACATATACTAAATTCATAGTGATAAAATGTTATGTCAGTGAAGACAGACACTTTTGTTTAGTGTTATATATTTCAAATATTCTATATTTATTTTTAGAGCTCTGGTACAGACTGTGAACATTGTATCTATCTATATCTTAAATCTGTTTCTTGAGCATAGTATATTCTTATATATTCGAAAGATGGTCAGTAAGATACATTGAAATCCCAGGTTGAAAGCTTACTTGCCGAACTGAGTACCATTTTAGAGACATGTTCTACGTGCTTACTTAAATATTATCATATACTGTTAAATTGGTTTTCTAACACTGTACCTAGTTTAAGAGAAATGCAGAAGATACTCAATTTTCTAACCTTGCACCTTATCTTAAAGCATTTTTTGACTCTTACATTAAAAAATATTCATTATATTTCAAGCTGATTATGCTACAAGTGCCATTTTAGAAGTGTTCAAAGTATATATTAGAAATTATAAACTAGAACTAGGGTATATTCAGATAAATTCTACTTCAAAAATGTCCTCACTATGCAGAAGGATATACGGTAGG